TTTAAGTAATGGGAATATCTTGTTAGAAATGATGACACATAATATAATTGAAAGAATTCATGTTCTCATTGTGCAAAAGGAGACTTATGCCACTTAACTGTTTTGTGTTTTTATTATTGAAAGCTATTAAATTAGAGGTTACCTGGAAGGGCAGCAATCACAAACAAAAATATGCTGTCTAGTCTGAAGGGTTTCATCCTAAGAAAGTATTAGGCCTCATGTGGCCCTATGGTAGTGAATAATACTAAAAAGTTAAATCTTTTAAATTTAGCTACATTTTCCCTTGCTAGTAATATTTTATAAAATCCTGTGTTGTCTAAATGATTCAAGTTCCAAGATGAATTGGCCTTCACTTATTTTTAGTACTGGGGATTTAAACCAGGGGTGCTTTACCACTAAGCTGCATCCCCAGACCTTTTTATTTTGACTCAGGGTCTCACTAGGTTGTTTAGGACTTAAGTTACTGAGGCTGGCCTCAAACTTGCAATCTTCCTGCCTCACCTCAGCCTCATGAGCTGCTGGGATCATAGGCTTGCATTACCATGCCCGGATAAATTGGCCCTTACTGAATAAGTAACTTCTCATTGTTCAAAGAGCAAAACAAAACAAAAACCTTTGCCAATTATTTGCACTATCCAGGTCCCTATCTCTTTTTCTTTTTTTTTTTTTTTAAGGTACTGAGGATTGAACTCTGGGCTTCAAGCATACTAGCCAAGCACTTCACCGCTCATCTACACCTCTAGCCTTTTTTATTTTATTTTGAGACAGGGTCTTGTTAAGTTGCCCAGGCTAGCCTTGAACTTGTGATTCAGCTTCCCGAGTAGCTAGGATTATAGGTGTGTGTCACCATGCTTGACTCCCTTATCTCTCTTTCTCTCTTTGGTACTAGGGATTGAACTAGGATTGAAAGTAAAGGGCACTTTACTCCAGACCTTTTTTTTTTTTATTTTTTATTTTTTTAATTTTGAGACAGGGTCTTGCTAAATTGCTGAGGTTGGCCTTGAACTTTCAAAGATGCTGGGATCACAGGTGTGTGCCATTGCACCCCTTATCTCTTTGTTAAAAGCTTTTCTGAATTGTGTTTGTTAACTAATCTCCATGAATATTTCTGGTGTATGTAGTGGGTTAGAATGGGCATTCAAATTACATGTGAATTCTATCCTTCTTGCCTGCTCCAAAGAACATGTGTCTATCCTGTACCCACCCAGAGTGCTGCCGGGGGGAAAAAAATGCTAGTGACTTGTGGCCTGATATTTTCAATAGGAAAATAAGGTGCAGGATCAGGCCCTGGCAGCTTCTTCTAAAAATGACCAAGTCTTTGGATTATAGAGTCAGACACCATACCCTGTTCTCACCCTCACCAGACAACTCTCACATTTCCCAGGGACCTAATAATGCTTTCAGGGAAAGCTGCAGGACATGAAAGCATGGCAGAGACTCTAAGATAAGTAGTTTTGAACTGTGCTTTAACTATAAATTTTATTATTTTATTGGGAATAAAACAATGATATAAATCATCTGCAAACCCGGGGTCTCATATATGCTAGGGAAATGCTTTATTGCTCAGTCCTAACTGCACATAAACCTGAAGCTTCTGTGTTTGGTGCTATTAGTGATATGAAATGGGTTCACTTTCCATGTATTTTACTATGTTAAATGTCAAGTAAGAAAAAAGAATGTCAAGAATACCCTTGAAACAGAACTAAAAATTGTGTTAATGACTAAATTTGACAGATAGCAAGATTTTAATCCTTTCATGTTTTTCATGTTCTAAATCAGTTTAAAAGTTTGAAAGGTGCTGCCTAGAGCAGAAATATATGACCCCTTTGAAGCCACATTGTTGAGAGCCACAGCTGAAGGGGCCCCAGCAAACTTCCAGCTGCCAGCAAACTTCCAGCTGCCGGCTGATGATTGGCTCACAGCGGCCCCAGCAACATCTAGCTGATTGGCTCCTCGGCCCCAGCAACATCTAGCTGATTGGCTCCTCTGCGGTGATGCTCATTGGACTGTTTCCCTGCCCTTTCAGACCACGGAGCTGCTCATTGGGGGACTTTTTTGGCTCCTCCCACGTGACCCAGCCAATCGGCCTCAAGAGCAGGAGGATTGTGGGAGGTGGAGAGAAGCTTGTGTGGGAGAGAGAGGCTTGTGGAAAGCCAGTGGTGGCAGTTGAGGCTCTGAGGGTTTTTCCTGAGAGGCTGTTTTGTTTGGCGTGTGTGGTTCTAAAAATAAAGTTAGTTTCTTTTGACAAGTGGCTCCTGATTGTGCCCAGCCAGACTGCGGCACCACATAATGTCTTTATGAAAAATATGCAGACTCTCCACCAAGCACTAATCCAGGCAAACTAATCAGAGCAAAACTGATGCATGATTAACAATACATTTTAAAGGATTGGTTATTGCAACTAACCATAACAATTTACATTTATTGGGCACTACCTTTGTTGCAAGCACCATTCTAGTTACCCCTTCTTATATCATCTCATTTCATCTTCATAATAACCACCTGATTAATTAGGATCCCCATTTCACAGGTGAGGAGACTGAGGCACAGAACAGTGAGGATAGGGGCTCACAAGAAGATAAGAACTTCCGGCTAGTGAGTGGGGAAGCTAAGATGAAGCCCTATGATTTCTTTTGGTTCTGGGATTGAACCCAGGGGCACCATACATCCCCGGCCATTTTTATTTTTTTATTTTGAGGGTGTTGCTAAGGTACTAAGGCTGGTCTCAAACTTTCGATTCTCCTGTCACAGCCTCTCAAGTTCCTAGGATTATAGGCATATGCCACCATGCCCAACTAGAAACCCTCTGATTTGAGTGGTTCTGCCATAACTCCCTCTGTATACTGTTCCTAATGATAATGTAAATATTGTAGAGTGAGGTTAAAGATGGAGATGGCAAACATTTTCATAAAATCCTTATTTTTGATGGTTTGCTATATAGATTATATATGATCTTCAGGATGACTGAGGTTTATTCCCATTTTAATTATAACTTCTACCATAAAATATCAATCTCTGATGGGAAAAGTATGATATTTCACCTTTTGGCAAGCAGCACAGGAATAAGCCCTATCTCCATCACATTATCTTTTTTGAAAGTTATAAAAATAGCATTCCAACCAAGTGTGGACATGTTCCAGTATCTACTCTTCCTCAGTTGTATACTTTTAAATTAGACTAATGGTGCCTGGCATGGTGATGCTGTAATCTCAGCTATTTGGGAGGTTGAGTCAGGAGGACTGCAAATTCAAAGCGAGCCTCAGCACCTTAGCAAGACCCTGCCTCAAAATAAAAAATAAAAAGGTCTGAGGATGTGGCTGAGTAGTTAAGTGCCTCCAGGCTCAATCCTGGCACTGAAAAAAGTAAAATGTCTAGACTGATGGTTGTTCTGTATGAATTTTGAAAAACGGTAAAATTTGTTTTGGCAGATCAAAGAAAGAAATATACCTGAATCAGAAAGCACTGTTTTAAAAATATTCATTTGGATATTCTTTTTTTTTTTTTTTTTTGGTACTGGGGATTGAACCTAGAGGTGTTTAACCACTGAGCCACATCCCAGACATTTTTTATATTTTATTTAGAGACAGGGTCTTGCTGAGTTGCTGAGGACCTTGCTAAGTTGCTGAGGCTGGCTTTGAACTCATGATCGTCCTGCCTGAGCCTCCTGAGCCACAGGGATTATAGGTGTGTGCCACTGTGCCTGGCTCATTTGGATATAGTATATATCCTATTGGCAGTTTAATCAAAAGAATGAAAGTAAAAATAGTTGAAGGAGTAATTTAGTGAAGAATCACAGGCAAATTTCCTAAAGAATATAATACTTTACACCCAGTCCATTGCTTAGTTCCTGGCATCCAGTGGGGATCAATAAATGCTAGCCTATAATTAGGAAGACACAGATATTTTAAGATGGAGACCCAGGTTTCTCTGTTTCTCCTTATTAGAAAATTCTGCTGATAGTGGTGGTACATGCCTATAATCCCAGCTTCCTGGGAGACTGAGGTTGGAGGTAAGTTTGAGCATAGCCTCAGCAACTTAGTGAGACCCTGTCTCAAAATAAAAAATAAATGGTCTGGGGATGCAGCTCCGTGGTAGAGTGCTTGTCTAGCAATGTGTAAGGCTCTGAGTTCTATCCCAAGGCTCATACACACACAAAAAAGAAAATTCTAGGTAAAATATTATACAATTTGACTGCACTTAAAACATTGAGATTCAATACTAGTTATAATAGAGAGAAAGTATTTTTATATTTGTCAGAGGTACTTAAAGTATAAATGGTCTAGTAAATCTTCGTAGGTCTTTGCAGCAAGGTATTAAGAAATTAAAAAAGAACATTTCTGCTTTCTAACTAAAGATTTAAGACCTTTACTATAATTCTCTAACTTGCAGTATGAGACCAAACAGGAAAACTGTAAGTTCTAGGCATTCTGTTATTCTGTTTAGGTTCACACTGATCTCTACACTGAAGGGAGCTATTTAAGATTCAGAAATGTCTCTGGGTTGTGTCCCAGAGAAGTGGCAGTCTCAGGGACAAGCCCTGGCACAGAAGAGGAAGCACAGGAAGTGGAGGCAGGCAGACATGACTTGAATCCTAACAGCAAATTACTCGTTGTATAATTAACTTTTTTAAGGTTCACTTTCTTCATTTGTAAAATGGGTTTAATACCTTGAGGGACTACAGCATAGATCAGGGAATGCAGGCACACATGCACATATCCACTCCATCTGGCAGAATGTCTAAAGTTCAATAAATGGTAGAATTATTATTAGGATAAGCTCTGCTCTGGAAATAAAATAAATAGTCCTATACTAAAAACACTCTGGAAAAAAATATAATCGAGGTGCAACACCCCTGCAATTCTTCTAGGCTTAGGACTAGATTTGGAATATTACCTGCACCCAGTTGAAGAGATACAATAACTTGATATATTAGGTAAAAAGAAAGATGCAAAAGTCAGGGCAAGGAATGGAAGCATGAGGAAACAGAGGCTGGAACTTACTTCGCTCTTCTCTGTGTCTCTCTGTCTGTGCAAAGTACTGGCGGAGCTCGTCGGTGATTTCCATATTGCTCAGGTCACATTCTACCTCCTCGTCTGACTCCGACTCCATCTCTTCCTCTTCAAACAATGCTTGATCTTCTCTTGTAGGTGTCTGGCTCCTACTGTCACATGGAGGCTGTCCAGAACTTCTGTTGGGTGTATAACTGTAGTAGGAGTCCTGCCAGGCCACATGATGGTCATAGAATGACTGTGGATATCCACCCTCATTGTCATAAGAGCTTTGGGGAAAACCTGCAGAAGGGAAGTACCATGGGAAACTGAAATAGGATTCCACGGCCTTCCTGTAGGCATTCTGGTGGCTTCGCATCCAAGCCATTGCTTGATGGTAATGCTGCCAATATCTTGCGTATACCGGATGACAATACCAAAGCTCAGTAGCTTTCGATGTCGATGCCTACAAAATGAAGACAAGCATAAGACAGCCACCAAATGGCACATCCTCAAGAGAAATCTTCAAACATTTAATCAACTAAGCAACAGACATTACTAGTATTTATTAAATACCTACTCTACATGAGGATGTTACTGGGCCCAAAAGGGCATAAGATAGGTCTATACCTACAACAGAAACCAAGCATATGCACACTTGTTTTCTGCAAATGTGTATATCAGGTACCCATGGGACAATTAGTTCAAAGTTATGGAGGCTTATAATGTGGGAACAGAGGCTAATAATGGTCGTTTTTAAGTAAGATTTAAGGAGAGATGAAATAATGATCGTTTTTAGATAAGATGCAGGGAGAGAGAAAAAAACCAACACTTATCATCTTGGCCATCTCTACTAGCTCAAGTTAGAAATGACATGTCAGTTCTAACTGATGATCATGATAGCCTTTGGTTCTTCCTCTTCTGCTTCCTTTTTAACTGCTGATCCAGCTCACTCCTCAATGTCTGGGACAAGATGTATAGTAATGATGGTGCTTTTAGTTTTCTTTCTTTCTTTTATTTTTTTGGTACTGGAGATTGAACCCAGGGGTGCTCTACCACTGGGCTACATCCTCAGCCCTTTCTATTTTTTTACTTTAAGACAGAGTCTCACTAAGTTGCTTAGGGCCTTGCTAAGTTGTTGGGGCTAGCCCCGAACTTACAATCCTTCTGCCTCAGCCTCCCAAGTAGGTGGGTTATAGGTGTGCACCACAGTACCTGGCTTTGTTTTCTAATGTACACAGTGAGTATCCTTTATCCAAAATGCATGGGACCAGAAGAATTTCAGATTTTGGTGTTTTTTGGATTTTGGAATATTTACATAGATGTTACTGGTTGAGCCATCCTGATCTAAAAATCCAAAATATGAAATACCCCCAAATTTGAAACCCTTTGAGCATCATGTTGGTGCTCAAAAAGTTCAGGATTTTGGAGCATTTCAGATATTTGGATTTGTGAAGCTCAATCTGTATTTACTCAGTCTTCTCCATCATGGAATGGGAGCATCAAGAATTTAAAGACTAAATTTTTAAAAACTCATATAAAAAAAGGTAATCTTACCTCTGCTGCCATCTCTGTGAAAGTCCAAATGGTCACTGAAACTAGGAAAAAACAACCAAAGTGAGAACACGTGATCAGAACAGCTGTGGAATATTCATGGCCTCTTCTTGAATTGCAAAACAGCTCCTGAGAGGCTGCCTTTCTGTAGCACCAAGCCTGCTTTTTAAGCAACATACTTTCCAGACCCTGGCACCTGGGTTATGACCTTGTGGTCTTTGCACAAGAAGAAACTCTTCTATTGGAGACTCAACTGAGGTACCATGTCGACTGCCTTTGCCAAATAGTATTGCTCTGGCACAATTACTTCTTATCCCACTGCCCACCTACTTGTTGCGATTTATTGATTCACTGCAAGAAATACGTAAAGTTTAATCTGTAGCTGCACACTTTTGACAACTTATTTAAAATACATTTTTTTCCCCCTGTTCAGGGTTCGGAGCTATTAAAATGCCAGCCTACACCAGAATGTACTTTTACGAAAGTTAAACAAAAATAGCATTCTCAAATGCATGTAAATTTAAGCTTCTGTGAGACAAACCAATAACAATGTGATACCAAGCAAGTAGCTATTTAGGTTTTGAAACTTTAGTAATCAGATACTGAAGGAGTCCTATTTTTCCTACTTCACTGAAGTATAGGGAATAATTTAAAAGTTTCCAGTCTTTTTTTTTTTTTTTGAATTTTTAAGATGTTGGTGGATCTTTATTTTATTCATTTATTTATACGTGGTGCTGAGAATTGAACCAAGTGTCTCACACATGCTAGGCAAGTGCTCTACCACTAAGCCACAACCCCAGCCCCAAAGTTTCCAGTCTTAAGAAATAAATGTGACTTATTTTGTAATCTCTATCAGACTATTCAATATGGTTATGCTACAAACTAAGATGTCAAATTGATCACTTCTTTTTAAGATTTAGCCTGGGGGCTGAGGTTGTAGCTCAGTGGTAGAACCCTTGCTTAGCACATGTGAAGAACTGGGTTCAATCCTCAGGCACCACATAGAAATAAATAAATAATATAAAGGTACTGTCTATATCTACAACCAAAACTATTTAAAGAAGTTTTTTTTTTTTTTTTTTTTAAAGATTTAGCCTAAAGAGAATTATTTATATTCTCTCTTTTTTCCCCCAGTACTGGGGATTGAACCAAAGGATGCTCTATCACTGAGCTCATGCCTAGCCCTTTTGTATTTTTGTTTTGAGACAGTCTTGCTATGTTGCCCAGGCTGGCTTTGAACTTGTGATCTTCTTGCATACTGAGTAGCTGGGATCACAGGTGTGCACCTGGTTCATATTCTTTTAAAATATAACAAGCTTTAAAACGGGGTATTTTTAAGAGGACCAAAGTGACTTTCTATAAATTTATCTTAAACATAGCTCATATCTCTTTTTCCCTGTCCTAAATTCAGGTGCACAACATGCAATGAATGTAAACTGGGAAACAATTAACAAATAAAATAAAAAATGTAAAATGGAATTCACATTACTTTAAAGCTATAATTTAAAGGTTTAGAACATGACCAATGACCTGGAAACCTAGCTAATGGCTATGTGCTTTATAGGCTACTGAAGAAATGTAAAAAGTCAATACTTGGGTGTCTTACTACCCAAAGAAATAAAACTAATACAAATTAAATTATGGTAGAAATTAGTACATATTTGAGTGTTAAACTGTAAGGTGATTTTAAGTGTATAATTCACTAAAGCAAGGTTTCATATTTCTATCCTTGAAATCTGAATAGCTTTTGGAGAGCCTGCAGTACATAATGATATTAAAGTGAACTCCATGTGTGCCTTAATCAAATTTGTTTCATAGATTAACAAGTAGCACAGAAATTACATTTAAGAAGTCTAGAAGACATCTGTTTATCTTCTGGAAATTAAGAGTTGTGAATCTAGACTACTTTCCGTGCCCTATAAGGCAGTCAGAATCAGGTCAATTATCCTCAATTGGGAAATCAGATAGGCTCAAATATTTATAGTAAACACCATTGTGATGTGTGTGGTGGCACTTGCCTTTAATCCCAGCAACTTGGGAGGCTGAAGCAGGAGGACTGCAAGTTCAAGGCCAGCTTCAGCAACTTAGGGAGGCCCTAAGCAACTTGTTTCAAAAATAAGAAAGCAAAGGAGATGTGGCTCTGTGGCAAAGTACCCCTGGTATCAACACACACACACACACACAAAAAAAAAAAAAAAAAAAAAGGAAAAAAATTCCCACCACTGTGATTCAACACTACTGCAGACTAAATCCTGTTTTTTTGCACAGTTCTAGGGACTAAATCCAGGTGCTAGTGCATACAACCAAGGGCTGTACCACTGAAGTATCTGCCCAGCTTTTTTAAAATTTTGAGACAGCGCCTTACTACATTGCCCATGCTGGCCTTGATCTTGCAATCCTCCTGCCTCAACCTCCTGAGTAGCTCGGTTTACAGGCATGAGCCACCACAACTGGCCCCAAATATTGTTTTTATTTATATCTGGGAATATCCATTCTGGCATTAAAGGTATTCTGAAGGTTCATGGCCAAGAGAGGCTCCTTAGGCAGAACTAGAGGTTTAGGTACGGGTGATCACAGTAGACAACTGCTGAAGAGGCTGCTCAATGGCTCTGATTAAAAAGGGGGAAGGAGTTGGCCTGGGGTCCTGGCTCAGTAGTAGAGCGCTCACCTAGCATGCATGAGGCACTGGGTTTGATCCTCAGCACCACATAAAAATAAAATAAAGATATTGTGTCTACCTAAAATTAAAAAATATTTTTTAAAAAAGCAGGGGTGTGAGTGTGTGAAGGAGTGTCAATTTGAGGAGAGGATGCTTTTAACTTTGGTTCAACAGATAATCTGGAAGAAGTGCTGTGATCCATTGCTGCAGAGATTGTCCAGGCCCACTCAGCATTTTGGAAGAAAGAAGCCAGGAAAGCCAGCTGAGATGACTGAAGAATGCAGCTTCCAGCTTTCCAACCAGCAGTAGTTCAGATTCAGCCAAGGGAGCCCACTATCTATGGTATCTATCAGCTAAGGTACTAGGCCTTTTTTCTTTTTGTAGAGGGAAGGGATGCTAGACAAGTGTCCTATCACTGAGCCACAAACCCAGCTCAGGTGCTAGATTCCTTTAAGACCCAGGCCATGAAGAAAGATGAAATTATATTAATGATGGAATACAGGGAACACTGTTAGCAATTCTGCTTTTGGGTAACAGTAGCAGAGGAATTAAATTTGCTTTGGCTGCTGGGATACCTGTAATAAAATGTACTGTCATCCTCCAGCAAGTTTAGTATCACTGGGGCTATAGATCCAAAATGCTCATTTCACTCCTGGTTTTAACATTTTCTCTTCCCAAATTCCAAATGCTATTTGTCATATTCTTTTAAATTTTAAGTATTTTTTAAATCCCTAAACTCCTACAGATATTAAAATTAACCATTTTGAATAACTGATTTGAGTTTATAAATTAATCTCTTAAAAATCAAATAGTATTAAGTATAGGAAATCACATCTAAAGGAACAGCAACTTGCATGGAGCTTTATAATTATTATTACCTTGGTATTTCCAGTATTACTTGTTATTTTATGCTAGCATTTTTTTTCTATAATGGTCCAAATAGCAAATATTTTAGGCTTGTGGGGCACATATAATCTTTTCCATAGTCTTCATATTCATCTCTGTTTTAAAAACAAAATGAAACACCAAACACCACACCAAACAACACTTTTAAAATATATAAAAATAATTCTTAGTTCCTTGGAAGAACAAAAGACAGGCTGTGAGCCATCTTTCGCCCTTCCCCATTTTATGATAACATATTATTAAGTTGTATACTGTGCCCTCAATACATTGAGCATTCTAATTGCTCCTCACTTTCCATTTAGAAACCAGTGGATTCTCATTTCATGAATTATTAGGCTTGGAGTAAGACTAGTAGAAGCAAGAGAACCAAATATCCACAGCAATCTTGGTGACTGATTCGTAATATTTTGGGGAAAAAATAGTCCCCATGGCTAAATAAGGAAATGGGGCCATTTCTTAAGGATCTGCATAGACACTTAGCCAGGCATGGTGGTACACACCTGTAGCCCCAGCTACTTGGAAGGCTGAAACAAGAGGATTGCAGGTTCAAGGTCACTCTGGGCAACTTAGTGAGACTGTGTCTCAAAATAAAATGAAAAGGGTTGGGGATATATAGCTCAGTAGCAGAGCACCCCAGGGTCAACCTCCAGTACCACAAAAGAAACAAAAAACCCCACAAACTACAGACATTAAAAACAAAAAAAAAAATGAACAAAAAACTTTTGCAAAACCATATCAATCCCTGGGGCTTAGAAAGCACTGACAGTGCCATGATTTCTGATGGAGACCCTGCTAACTGCCACTGCTAAACAGGACCACAAAATGACACAAAGCAGCATGGAGTTCTGAGTATCTATGCCCTAGGAGGAATCCATACTCACCTCTGCTGAATACCCAGGTTCATCAGCACCTATCAGTTTGTTTTTTAGGGAAGGGGAGAACCTCCTCTGCAAATGGATCCTGTTATATTGAAGCTGGTTATTTTCTCCACCTAGACAGCTTAAGGAACTAAGTAGAATGCCTGGGTTTCTGAAAAGTCAACATTTAAATAATTCTAGGCATCAGAAAAACACTTCAGACATAGCCACCTCTCACAGAGAAGGAAGTTTGTGGCTGCAGCAGATTTAGACACCCTTTCAATGTTTTTTCATTTTATCTTTCATCCTCCCCTCCCCAGGTGGCACAAGCCTTGGTGGACTGAACAGCAACTTTTCTCCCAATGGGCTGGTGGGGCTGAGAAGAGATTGACAATGTCAGGGAAGGCCAGGATCCACAGCTCCTCAGACCCAGCAGCTCTTCCCAGTGAGCACAATGGCATAATAGTCACGACCCAGCTGAGCCCTGCTGAATACAGAGACCATTCATTGTCTGTCCTCAACTAAGAAGGAAGGAAAACCACAGGGATGGGTTATTCACTAAGCACTGCTGAGGCCTATCAAGACAGAGCCTCTGAATTTTGAGTGATATATTTCCCAGATGGCCTCTTTTAAAAAGGCATTTATTCTGCAGTGTATCTGCGTACTCTGGAAGATTATTTATTTATTTATTTAGAGCTGGGGATCACACTCAGGGGCACTCGACCACTGAGTCATATCCCCAGCTCTATTTTGTATTTTATTCAGAAACAGGGTCTCACTGAGTTGCTTAGCACCTTGCCATTGCTGAGGCTGGCTTTGAACTTGTGATCCTCCTGTCTCAGCCTCCCTAGCTGCTGGGATAACAGGCATGTACCATGGTGCCCAGCTTGGAAGATATATTTTTAAATACACAAATATATATGAAAAACAACAAAGAACTTCATAGCTTTCAATGGATGAAATGTGCCTATTTCCATCAAGTTACTAAAAAAAAAAAATTCTACATATAAGTAATGTGGTTTTGTTGAAAGGGAATGGCATCATATATACTTTTTATATTCTTATAAATACAGATCTAGGACATACCATGGCAACCACATACATAAAATGAAAACACAAATCCCACTCAAAACTATACCCAGTAACTAGATTTCCCTTTCTACCTCATCTCCTTGTTCCACTAGAATTGCGAAAACTAAATTTATGAAAACTCATTTGCTTTGACTTTTGCATAGAAACACAGTAAAAGTCAATCATTAAATCATTACTCTGGTCCTGAAGGTTGAACCTTCCTATTAGGATCCCACTGATCTGGCTGACACAATCAGATAATTTGGGGATCTAATTAAGGCTCTCAATATATACTGTTTCAAAGAGGAAGGGAGTCCATAGGCGAAGTGAAGGTATGGAGAGAATTTGAATAACATAAATTGAGTCATGTGGCTCTAAGAAATCTTTCTATACAGGCTAACTCTATCTGGAAGATGTCTTTCAATAAAACATATTGGTATGAACTTCAACTCAGATAAATAAATACAATAGGGATTTGTGAGAGCACTGCTTCCTGCCCCCACCTACTTGGGGAGCCTTGCTGCCACCCCTCGCTGGTTGCAGAGGCTGGCAAGCTCCTCTGGCTTGATGCCCTATGGGCTCCCTCCTGTGGCTCTGCATGATCCCTGCTTAGTTATTTGGACATCAAAGATGGCACAAGTCCCAGTGGCCTTGTTTCACCGGCAGGAAGAGTGAAAGCTCCATCTTTTGGCTGGACATGGGCCTGTTCAAAGAACACATGCCACTGTGTTTGCAAAACCTGCACCTCCCTATGACAGTCACTGTTAAAACTGAGGGGTGAGGGAGTCAAAAAGCTGGTTTTTTTTTTTTTCTTTTTATTCTCTTAATCCCAAACCCCAATTTACCTTCTTCGGGATGTTGCACTAAGAAATGTTGTCACAAAGAAGGCATGGTGTGGGGAAGAAGATGGAAAGGATGTAGCTAACAATTCTTTTTTCCACACAATTGTCAATCCACCCACAGAAGGGCATTGTTTAATTTGTCAGCAAGGATGATGGGTTTGTGAATGGATTTATTTGCAAGTTCACTGAGTCCCCATGTGATTGGCATCAGAGCCAGAATGTCACAAAAAAACAAAGTTATCCTCTGACTCCTGAGCACAACAGGAAATGGGAGAACTGAAAACTGGGATAACTAAGAAGGATATAATGGTCATAGTTTAAAAAAGGAAATGGAACTTTGTTTCACCGAAGGCATTTCTATCATACAGCAAAACCTGGAGTGATCATAAAAGAATAAGGGCTGAATAAGCAGGTATAGCAAATTAAGGATGTAGCAGCAAAAACCTTGACTAGTTTAAAAGTTTAATATCACTTTTCCATTTCCAGGGCCTTAATTCAAATTTACTTCTATAAACATTCATAGTAATTCCATGTTAATTTTTCTCTTTTCTAAATCCATATGATAGTCATTATGCCTCATATATTTGGGCACTCAAATAGAAACAGAATTTGCAATTTATTCCTTTTAAATTTCCCACTTTCCTTTCAGCATAAAATAATAGCTAGCATCTTCTGCCCCAGGATATTGTTGTAACTGCTGTTAAGATTGCCCATTTTATCCCTGTAACATTATTTCCTCTACCTCTACTTCTCCAAATTATTGAGGAACTCAAATAACTGACAATAAAGTCCCATGTCTTTTCAGGAAGCAAATATTTAAATATATTAATATGTTTTCGAGATATTTTCAATTTGTCCAACTTTTCTATAGGTGGACTCTCTATTATGGAAAAGTCGTTCCGAGAGCTCTGTACCTAGTTCGTAAACTCTCCAGCTCTAGCCTTAATTGTTAAGTCTTCCTCTATCCTTCTCATCTCACCCTATCCTTAAATGCGGGATCTTAAGAAATATAAATGAATCTTTCATTATCTTGTAAAATTTTTAGAAGAGAATTTCTGTGGAAATTTAGTTTGTATACTTTTCCAGCTAGCAGTGAACATAGCAATTTATATACCTTATTGTGAATTTGCCTTCAGTTATGCTTATCCAAGGGTAGTAAAAATCTTTTAAAATGTAGTTTCTGTTCACATAGCCATCCCAAAGGAGCTTTTAACTCTGATAAATTATACTAGTATAAATTGTATTTTTAAAGAGTGTCTGTCCTAAGCCCTACAATTCATGGGAGCCATGCGAGTAAATAACCCTAGAAGCCTTGTTTGTATTCTTAATCTTTAATCTAGATTTTAAGTAATATTGTTCTGATTTAAGGCGAATAACACCTGAATACAGAACCTATCTTGTTAATTAAATTTAGCAATCATTTCTGAAAACAATAAAATTGTTCAGAACCATTTTAACTGTACTCAGGATTTCAGAGCTAAAAACTTCTTTGGCCACTGATTCAACTCCACCTCATTATTACAAAGGACAAGTGGGCAAAAGTATTCTCTACCTCAATAGGTAAGGCTCATCAAAGATTGCAGCTGCCAAATGGTCTCAAGATAACTACCACCAAAAACTCCAACCTCCCAGAGGCTAAAGTGCAAGGGTAAAGGAAGAAAACATTTTTTTTTTTTTTAAGTAGATGGGCCAATATCCTACATATCCTGCAAGGATATGTCCTGGGCGCTCTTCTATTCAGATATTGGAGTGGATGGGCAAAATCCGAATTCATCTACAGAGCTAGCATAACACGGTGATTTCCAGCACATTAAAATCACCTGGGGAACTTAAAAAAAAAAAAAACCCCACATCCAAGCCTCACTTCTAGAAATTCGGATTGAACTGGACTGGGACGGGGGCCAGGACATCAGAATTCTTAAGTCACCCAGGGATTGGGAAGCACGTCGGGGTTGAGAGCCTCTAGAACTAGTCTTCTCTAAAAATTAACCTGCAATGATTTAGGAATCTCTTGGGCCTCTGGGCCCACCTTTTGCCGCGGGATGCTGATGGTTACAATGTGACCGCCGAGCTTCCCCCTGCGCCTAGGAAGGCAGGCCCAGCGGCCATCAGGCTCCTCCCTTACTCCCCCAAAGAAACCCAGCCGACCCGAAGTCACCTCGTGGGCTCGCAGCTTGCAGATCCCGGGTGGTGGGCGAGCAGGGACCTATTTTTCGGTGGGGAGACAGGGATAATGAGGAGGGACTGTTGCCCGGGCAACTAAAACGCGGTTCCGAGGAGGATCCACGTGGCAGTGTCGCGCCGGAAGCCCCGCCTACGCCGTAGACGTCAGGTTCCCATCCAGGGCTACGCAATTCCGGAGACCGGCGCGGGATGGGAATCAGCTGCGTGGGGTGGAGCTTGGGGATGGCTGGTGACCCGGTTAGAGAACTGAGTGCTGAACCGGGTCCCGGCACCGGAGCGAGGACCGGAACGGGGGTCCTGGGCGGCGGGTCTGCACTGATGTGTGTGGCGGGACGGGAAGGCGAGGGATGCTTTTGCAGGGTCCCTGTGCTTTTAACTTTTTACCCTGCTCTCAAGCTCTCATTTTTATTCCCTTGTCTTTAGCCTTACTTTCTTCCTTTCTACTTTAACCAAAACGGAGGGTGGGAAATAACCTTGCTTTGAAAACAGAGTCACCCAGATCAGAACTAGTGAGATTCCAGTGCTAGTTTATTTAACCTCCCCAGTCTGGTGTTTCCTCATACCTAGGACGTACAGAACCTCTTGTAGGGAGTATTGTAGCAAATAACCAGTACCTGCTATATATTTATTTATTTTTTTGTCGTCATGATTATCAGCAGAGAAATCCTTAAGTAAGCAATAGACATCAAAGGGACATATCCTTCCTGGGGTAATTTGGCAAAATACAGCAATCCTTAAAAGGGGGAATATTTTGTGAGAATTTATTCCAAGAAAAAAAAAAAAAAACAGGCATGAGTTGGATGTTTATTGCAGACTTATTCCAAAAAGTGAAAATTGCAAACAATCTAAGTGCCCAATAGAAGGAAATAGCTGACTATTAGGCAACCTCAGGAGTGGGACATTATTGTCATGTTATTTGTATACTGTATAAGAATCAAAACAGAAGAACACTTGTTTAACAAATATATACTGGTTGGGTACTATTCTATATCTGCAACCTGTCCACTGGGGTGGCCACTAGCCATATGTGGCTTTGAGACCTTGAGATGTGACAGTCTGAACTGAGATATGCTGTAAGGGAAAATTACACACTGAATTTTTGAAGAAACAATGTAAAATATCTCAATTATAAAAATTAATGATAACACCTTAGGGAAGGACTGGTTAGGCTAAATAAAAGATTAAAATTAATTTAATTTTTAACTTTTTACTTATGTGGCCACTAGAATATTTAAAATTATAGGAAAGACAGTAGAATGAAGCAGACATAACTTTCCTACGCTCATATATGAATACATGACTAGTGTAATGTTACATCATGTTCAACCATGAGAATGGGATCAAAATTGTAATGGGTTGCAACCCATATGTGTCAAAAAATACCCTACTGTTATGTATATCTAAAAACAAAACATCAGAAATGTTGTATACATTATAATTTTATTGGGGAGTAGTATTTTATTTACTGGACATACAATGGTGAATAACTGTTTTTTTTTTGGAGGGGGCATACCACCAGGGATTGACTTCTATAAACATTCATAG